TTTAGGCTTGTAGTTGGTGATATTCCTAAAACCTTTCCACACAGAGGCCGAGTCATTCTCTGAGATCTGCTGCTGCATCTTCTCAGAGTGCTGATATTTATCAATGTCCACTTCTTTAGTGAACCTGTACTTGGCCTCTCTGTAGCAGCACTGAAGTACCAGGGCATCCATACGCGGCGCCATCTTGGTTGAAATAAAAACTTTTGCAGAAACAAGTTTCTGTGATATATTAATATAATATGATCATTTAGCCTAATATACAGAGAGATTAGGAGAGAGCAAAAAAAGGAAAGAAAGTCAGAAAAGAATGAGCCAGCACAGGAGAGCTAGTAGACTATGATAAAAATAACATTTTATGAAAATTCTGACATTGTGATACAAAATCACATCTCTCAATAGAGGCTTATCAAAGTACATACCCATTTTATGTATACACTCTGCAGTCAGAGATAATAGTACAGTGATTCTGACAGCTTTTTCTTCTTCTCTTTAGGGCTCAGCATGGAGGATCTAACTAATGCCGTTAAAAGTGCACTGAAGAAAAATGATGCTGCTGCAGCTGTGAAATTGATTAAAGAGTTTTTAAAAGACCAAAATAATATTCCACTAAAGATCGCCATCACAGGAAAATCTGGTGCTGGTAAATCCACCTTTGTTAATGCCTTCAGAGAGATGTCCGATGATGACGAGGGAGCTGCTCTTACTGGTGTTACACAAACAACCTTACAGCGTAGAGAGTACCCCCATCCAAACTATCCCAATGTTATGTTATGGGATCTTCCTGGGATCGGCACCATGAAGTTTCCAGCTGATGAGTACCTGGAGCTTGTTGGATTTGAGAAGTTTGACCTCTTCATCATCATCTCAGACACTTGCTTCAGAGAAAATGAGGTGAAACTCGCAAAGGAGATTCAGAAGATAAAGAAAAAGTTCTACTTTGTTCGCTCAAAGATTGACAACGATATACAAGCTGAGAGAAGAAAGAGAGACTTCAATGAAGGGAGGACTCTTAAAAAGATCAGAGAAAAATGTGTTCAAGGTGAGTTCCTCTTTTATTAAGATAAAATATACTTTTTACCAGATGTTTTTAATTATTTATTTATATTATGAAAAGTGTGGTTGTTTTAGATTAAATATCATTTATCACACAGATCTTCGAGAACTAGGCATCCCATTTCCACAGGTCTTCCTTGTGTCCAGCTTTGAGCGCAGTCTTTACGACTTCCCTTTCTTACGTGAGATGTTCGAGAGAGATCTTCATGCACACAAGAGAGATGCTCTGCTGTTTGCCATGTCTGATATCAACCAGAAGATCATCAACGAGAAGAAAGAAACTTTTCAGTCTAAAATAACATTCTATGCTACTCTGTCTGGAGCTGTAGCAGGAGTTCCACTCCCTGGGCTTTCTGCTGCTGTTGATATAGGCTTGATCATTAAGGTTGCCAAAGAATATGTAGCTGGGTTTGGTCTTGATAAGCCATCTCTGGAGAAACTTGCTTCCAGCTCAGGTGTTCCATACACTGATCTGTTTGCTGTTATCAAGTCACCACTGGCTAAAAGAGAAATAAATAAAGAGCTCATCCTGAAGATTTTGACCCAGCTAGCATGCACAGCTGCATTACTAGCAGCAGAGGAAGGATTCAGATGGATTCCAGTAATTGGAATTTTAGCATCAATCGGTCTCTCTTTTACATTTACCAACAAAGCTCTGAATCATTTCCTCAACACTCTTGCTGAGGATGCTGAGACAGTCTTTAAAAGGGCTCTGAATTTGGATTAGTAACTAAATTACAAAGTGATTTAGTATCAAATTTGAAGTGGCAATGTACAAAATAATAATAATCTTCCAAGTCAACTGAACAAATCTTTCTATATAAATAAATCAGTAATGCAAACCATAATCTAGATGTTTGAGGAATAGCTGTCAATGGCAGGTCTCATTTCATTTGATCACAGCAGCTCACTTCTCGCAGCAACACTCAAACGTTCCTCTTTGTATCAATACAGGACCAAATGGGATCTATTCAGATATAAACTGTGTACAGTGTGTTTACTACTTATTTGTGTAATTATTAATATTAGCACTACATTGAGATGGGACTGATTGTTTTACAATATTTTAATTTAATAGGTTCCACTATTATAAATTATAAGAGTACTTGATGTATCTACACATATGAACTGTAATATTTACCATTACTGTCTGTTATTAATAAAATGTTTTTTGTACATTTAAATAATATACATTAGTGTGAGAAATAGGTGCAGTGATTTCTGCAATGTACAAAAATACATGGAAACACAGTATATGAGGTAAAAACAGAGTTTGTACATTTTTCACAAGCTTGAAAGTTAATATTTGCTATGAGCACCTTTATTCTCCAGCACAGTCTGAACTCTGTAAGGGAAGCTTTCTGTAATTTCTTTAAGCAGTCTTCAGTAATAAATCTGGCTTGTTGAAGGACATTCAACGCTCTTCTTTGGATCTTTCTGATTTTCTCTCACACTGTCAGGCTCTGTGGAGGTCGAACCTGTTACGGGTGGCGGTCACCAAAAGGAAAAAAGGAGTCAAGCACAGACACCACTTGGAGGCACAGGGAGTAAATGCAACAATGTACCAAATTTACAGCAAGTGCTATTAAACAAGATGACGATAAATAAAGACAATGCAAAGCGTGATTCCGCTAACACAGAGTAATGATCTAAACCAAAAACAAAGTGTTGAGCATAAAGCATAATTTGGCACAGACTAGAAAACCTAATAATCAGTACAAACTACCCAACTAGTTTTACTCACAAAGAACAGAATATTATCGTAACTGAGCTCATCATAGTTTCATATTGCAAACACTACATAGCGATCTTATCCTTTAACGCTACACAACTCTGCACAAACGTCCTTATGATATAAAGAAGCGACTTGCTCAGCATACTAACACAGAACTAAGTTATATTTCATTCAACCATACAACAACAATAATGTGCAGTAAATCATTTAGAGGCAGTGAGGGAACCCATTAGGGAGCCTTGGGGCTGTCGTGGTCACAGGTAGGGAACCCGACACTAGGTACTATCTAGAGCAGAAACCCTGGGAACGGGGAGAAAGGAGGTGGGGAGGGAGCATGAAATTGTAGAGTCACTGAAATGAGGAAAACAGTGTTAAACGTCAGTTGACGGACACCAGTCCAAAAGTTGTGCTGCGTTTGCAAAAAAACATCTTGCTTCTGCAAGCAGAGGCAAAGCATAGAGGATGCTCAGGATGAGCTGTAATGGACAGCCAGCGAGCAATCCGTGAGCCGCAGTTTGTTGGGCAGAGGGGCAGGCAGCTGAGTGTCACCAAAAGAGCATTGAGTAATGCAGCGACAATCCACTGTTCGAGAACGGCGACGTAGCTCCTTGTCATCCAATGACAATACTGTGAGCAAAAGATACAGCATTAATACAACCATAACCAACACAATCTGATCAGTCTGTGACGGCCTTCACTAACGAGAATTCGCTGACGATCTGGCGAGGAATGATTGTGTGCACTGGCCTTAAATCTCTGCCGCTCAATTACTCGCATGTGCCGCCGGTCTAGGGAAATGAGAGACCTCCACCCCGGTAAGAAGACGCCAGGGACACCGATCCCACAGACCATGACAGAACCATTACTGATATTTGTACACTATTTTTCTATCCAGGTACTTTTAATGCATTGGCATTGTGTTTAGGGTCATTGTCATGCTGGTAAATGAAGCTGTGGAGGTAAACACAGACGACAGGGGAGCTCTCAATTAACACTCCTGAATACAACTGAATACTTTTCACTCTGACACACCAACAACACCTCCTGTAAACTGGGTGTGAGTGGAGCCCTCCAGTGGTCCACCCCCCTGAACACCCAGTAGGGTCATCCCCTAGTCCAGAACCTTTGCTTTAATTAAAAGTCCAGAACAGCTTAACCGGGAAGGTTGAAAACTGGCTGAGGGGAACAGAGCCTGAGGACCAGGCTGGCATGGTTATTGAAGTTAACTCAGAAAGATCATAGAGAAAGAGTCTAAAATATCAGCAGTTATCAAATTTGGGATTTTTTTTCAGTAATGGTTACATTTTATTTGTAAAGAAGTTCATTAAGTCATTACTAGTCAACATTAAAGCAGAAGTGGGGAACTCCAAGTACCAGGTACCAAGGCCCGGTGTGCTGCAGGTTTTAGATCTCACCCTGGGTCAGCACACCTGAATCAAATGATTAGTTCATTACCAGGCCTCTGGAGAACTTTAAGACATGTTGAGGAGGTCATTTAGCCATTTAAATCAGCTGTGTTGGATCAAGGACACATCTAAAACCCTCGGGACTAGGGATGGGTATCGTTTAGGTTTTATCCGATACCGGTGCCAAATCGGTACTTTTGAAACTGTGCCGGTGCTTAAACGGTGCTCGAACCGGTGCTTAAAGAATGGAGAACACAAACTTTGTCCAAAAACCTCTCATGTTCAGCTGTTTTGTTTTGTTTTTTTGTAAAAAGATAACAA